ATAGCTCTGTCCCTGAGCCAGCTCCTTTGCATGCCACTTACTATCTTCCTATTCTATGCCAGAGATCTTGCTGGCTTCTGACTTGCAGGACCTGGCTTTTTTTTTCTGTACAGTGAAGTCTTGTGTGACATCTGAGACTTTTGGTCTTTGAGCCTTTAAACCTTTTTGTTCTCACAGAATAACGGAATGGTTTGGGTTGGAAGGGACCTTTAAAGGCCATCTAGTCCAACCCTCCCTGCAGTAAGCAGGGACATCGTCAACTATGTCAGGTTGCTCAGAGCCCTGTCCAACCTGACCTTGAATGTTTCCAGGGATGGGGTGTTTACACCTCTCTGGTAAACCTATTCCAGTGTTTCACTACCCTCGTTGTAAAAAAATGTCTTCCTTGTGTCTAGTCTAAATGTAGCCACTTTCAGTTTAAAACCATTACCCCTTGTCCTATCACTACAGGCCCTACTTGAAAGTCTGTCCCCATCTTTCTTATAAGACCCCTTTAAGAGTTGAAAGGCTGCAATAATGTCTCCCTGGAGCCTTCTCTTCTCCAGGCTAAACAACCCCACACAGTACTCCCTGTGGGGTCTCACCAGGGTGGAGTAGAGGGGCAGAATTACTTCCCTCGACTTGCTGGCCACAATTCTTTTGATGCAGCCCAGGATACAGTTGGCCTTCTGGGCTGTGAGTGCACATTGCTGGGTCATGTCCATCTTTTCATCCACCAGCACCCCCAAGTCCTCCTCACAGGGCTGCTCTCAATCTTTTCATCCCCCAGCCTGTATTGATACAGGGGGTTGCCCTGACCCAGGTGCAGGACCTTGCACTTGGCCTTGTTGAACCTCATGAGGTTCACAGGGTCCCACTTCTTGAGCTTGTCCAGGTCCCTCTGAATGGCATGCTGTCCCTCAGCCATGTCAACCATGCCACTCAGCTTGGTGTTGTCTGCAAATTTGCTGATGGTGCACTCGATCCTACTGTCTGTGCCATTGATGAAGACGTTAAACTGTACTGGTCCAAGTACAGACCCCTGAGGGAAACCACTTGGCACTGATCTCCATTCAGACGTTGAGCCCTTGACCATACTCTCTGGGTGTGACCATCCAGCCAAATCCTTATCCACCGGATAGTCCATCCATCAAATCCATAATCTTCTCGGAGTGTGGAGGAGAGTTTCAGTAGCCTAGAATGGAATTTATTAAATCATTATGTATTGTGTGGGAAGATTTCTTGGTTAATATGTGTAAATTGCTTGTGAGAAGAAAACTTGCTACTTTGTATGTATTTTCTAAGAGTTGTCCATGGATCCATTTTTGTATATTTTAAAGTTGTCTGTAAATACATGCTTATAACTCTGACCAAAGACCGAATATAATGTATATTGTTTCTGTTATCTTGTTGTAGCTTATAATGCAGCAGTCACTTTTCCTAGTAAAAAGTCTGAGAATATAGGCCATCTGTCCATCCTGGAAAGTAATTTGTCCAGTGTTTTGCCATCAGTTTCCATGAATCCGGAGTTTGACTTGAATGCCTAAAATTAGCGTTCCATCTCCATATTTAGAAGCCTATTAAACGGTCTGTTTTCAAAAAACGCTCATTCTGGTTGGAATCGGTGAGACTGATTCTGAAAATATAGATCCTTTAAATCTGGTGTACTTGCTTGTGGGTATGCAGTTTGGAAAATGGTCACCTCAAATTCTTCCAGGGTAGTGGTAAAAATGAGTGAGGAGTCGGGCTTTCTGTGCCAGTAGCATCCAAAGATTTAAATGTGAGGAGTGTACACAGGACCCTTCTAGCTAATGCCAGTTGTTGCAACCATCGGTTAGATGCTTTGATTAATTACACTTTGTACTAAGAGCAAATGGAGTCC